CATTTGGCACCAAATTTGTCGGCATATGAGCCACAAAACTGAGTTAAGGTATAGCCGTAGAAATATGCGCCTAATAGCGAGCCCTGTGTTGATTCACTCCATAGATACTTTTTACCCTGATATAACAAAATATATTTTAAATATTATTTCAGAAATAATTAAAATATTTACATTATATATGGGCTCAGAATTGGATTTATTGATTCTGCTGTCAATATCATAACAAAGATCTGTGTCTTGTATGGCATTGTCCTCTTCGATGACTTCCTTTTCATCAACCATTGCAATGATGGCAACACTCAGATTGGATCTCAAGACATACACGAGTGTACAACCAATACATCCCAGTAGACCAACAATCAATCTCTTTGGTATCAAATAATTCATGGCTTATTTAACTTATATTAAATATAAAAATAATACACTTTCTCTGGTTCAGAATAAAACTGATTTTGTTTTATATACACATTATTTTTATAGTTTAATTGCTATTTTACGATATAAATGCTTTTATTTTATTAGTATGTTATACGAGAGGACTAAATATAAACCTTTTGGAAATAACCATTAAGAGGACAATTATGTATTCAATACATGTCCTCAGTTTACAAGTACTCGAGTTATCTAAAGAGTCAATTTTGAAAAAAATTATTGAAAGTGCATTTGTCAACTGAAGTTGAATTTATTTAAGGATGATAAAAATAAGTCTTATCATACGAAGTTTATAGCAAGGTTTATATTGTAATTTCAGATTGTTCATGCATTCTTTACAATTTAGGATATGGGATCTTTAAGACTTTTCAAACTTTAGGGTCACAGTGTTTTTATTGGAGATTTGTAGTGAAAACATGAGATTTAACATTTTAATTTAAAAATTAAGGTCATGAAGGTTAAAGGTTTTTCCAAAATCTAAGCTTACGTGCTTAGAATAACGAAAGTATATTGAAATAAATCTTTAGATAAAAACCCAATCTAAGTATTTAAGTTTTTATTAAATATTTAATTATAAACTTAATTTTATAAAATAGATATTAGTATACACTGTATACTGGTATAATTGGTAATTTATATATACAGTAGAATAAATTGATTTCTTATGATATTATAATAATTTAATTTGATATGTCAAATATTATTTATGACATTTAAATACAAATGAAGTAATTGAAACAAAATATCAAATAATGAAATACGAACAATATTTTATATTTAAATTAAATATTTCAAATTAAATAGGAAGTGAAATATATTTATGATAATAAACAATAAAATATTAATATTTGATTTCTTTGATTACTTAAACCTTATTTGAGATAATATGCGATTTCTTTTCTATGGGTAAATCATCCGATTCTGTGTCCGAGATAACAGCCCAGGGCTGGGGTTCAGCCGTTCCCCACACCTCAAAAGAAATGGCACCAAATGCATAAACAGCGCCCGATAAATACCAGATTATATTCCACTGATGTCTTACACCCGCATCACCCTGTTCATTTTTAAATTATAAATTTTAATTTAAATAAATCAACAAATATGAAAGGACTGACCCCGTGATCAAGAAGTAGGCCTACAATGAGTGGCCCGATAAAGCCTGTGGTTGAGGCCAGAGTGTTGGACACACCGAATACTGTTCCCGAATAACTGGGTGCATACTCTGGTATAACACCGTATTCTCCACCTGTTATGAACCCATAGGCTGCCATTCCCACTAACATCAGTGCAATCACTGAACTGCTATCACAGCCCACGACTGGGATTAGGAATAAACACAGAGAGCATGTGAACAGTGCTATAGAAATGCAAACAATAATTAATAAAACCTTAAAAATTCTTTAGTTATTTGTGTATAACTTACCAAAACTGTGAAAATTTTTACGATTTCTTGTCTGAGAAAACCAGTTCCGACTGCGAACCCAATTAGAGAGGGGCCCTCCCGTAATGTTGGTCACACACAATACCCCGTACATCATTGAATTAAACCAACTGTTAGACTGAATAGCCATCCCAAACACACC